TCTGTGACCGAGTTGAACTAAGTTCACACTCTGCCCTACTTTACAATACCTGTACATATACTACATGGAATATATTATTGCTAAATATTATATACAAATTTATTAATATTAGATACAAATTTATTGACCAAGAGTATTTCCAGAATTACGTGTATGTATTGTATACCTATTCCAATAAATGTAACAATCACAGATATCACAGAGGTAGGAATAAAAATGAAACAACGAGTATGAGAGAAGAAAGATTTAATAAATAGATATAATAACTTTAATCTAAAACAGAGTTCCAGAATAAGAAGGTGAATTTTAAAGTAACAGATGTTAGGTATCTCAAATTGACTACACAGAACAATTAATAGTCGAGAAAAAATGCATCAATTATGATTTATAATAATTTATTATTAAAACATTTAAATGTATAAATTTTAAGATTGCCATAATCACAAGTTACGGTACAAATATCAAAGAGCAGGGTGCTATTATGAATTAAAGTCGAACGGACTAATATATAAATACCGATCACAATATTCAAGACAAGCCTACTTCCGGCGTGTGAAATTTGTGAGCACGCGACACCAAGAAAAGTTTTCAATTATAATCAAACCATATGATATGTAATACACAACAATAGTCATAGTTGGTGAATACACACATACGAATTTAATAATATCCGAGTTCCTCTCCCAATAGGGTACTACCAATTTCGTAAGTCATACATAACTTAGGTACTACTAATATTGTAATTTGGTCCTTGAAAATTCACCTGCACAGCTGTGCAACGGACAAAAGTTAGTCTTCGTCAATTCGCGAACCAAACATACAATTCACTTTACAAAAGTAGTGCAATTCAATGGAACATTTTAATAGCATCCAAGGTCAAATTTTAGACGTTAGTATTAATGTAGAAATTAAATTCCTAAAAATGTAGTAATATAGACACGGATAAGAACATTAATGAAATATATCGCCCACAAAAAACCATCACTTACACACATCAAAAAACGTTGTAATCAATGGCATGCAAGCACACAAAATGAACTTTCGGAAGAAAACCTATGGCGCAACCCATAACTGAGCGAGCCCGTATAAACATCTTGAAATTTGGGAAGAACTGGCAACGGAGTAATTCAGCAAGTGAGAAACAATGGAGTTGAACTATCACAAACTTATTCTGATATGTGTATGTGCACATACAAGTAGTTATTTGGCCTCTTAGGCTCAATTTACATTGCGGCGACGAACGGAATGGAAAGCAAGCGTCTATTTCGCCTCGCTATGCGAGAAGGCGGGCGCGGTCGCTGGAATACTCGAGTATTCACGCGAATGCTCGAGTATTCCAACGACCGCGTCTTGAGGCTGTATTTCATCGACGTTTGACGTCACACTGGCCTGCCTTCGCGCCACATACCGCGTAATCGCCAGGTGTCGCCGACGGCAGCAGCATTCTCGAGCATGCGCGAGAATTCGGCGGAAGACGCGCGACGTGTTACACAATTGACCATAAAGTTCATTACGCTATATACAATATCGTTACAAAAATTCGCTTCCATTCGGTCCCACCGCAATATGAATTGAGCCTTAGTAGACAGACAGACTTGAGGTGCGGTGCGGGGCAGCGGTGCAGAGCGGCGGCGCGACGCCTCCGCTTCCACCTACGGCGACAATGCGCATACACCGCGCCAGGCCTGCTGATGTCTTTCGACGCATGCAACTCAATAGCACCCTGGCATTACGGAAAACAGTGTGACGAATATACGGTACACTTTAACTGTAGGTATCAAATAATAACTTTAAACGTCAAAAACGTCTTAAACGTTTTTAATATCCATACTTACAGATGAAAATAGTAATAAGACTTTATTATCTAACAATCCTTTCATAATACAGGACATTTAATGCACCATAGATTTAATCGAGTGTAATTTTTAATTAGTGAAGAGAATGTATAATAACGTATGGAAGAAGGCCTTTAAGCGTAAGTAAATAGTATAGTGAAACGTGTCTAGGTTTAAGAAGAGCGGTGGAAAGTTAAGTATATTATATATATTTTAGCATTTTATATAGGTAGTAATTATAAAGAAATACATAAGATCACCATAATGCGCCTTTTTGCAGTGTCAGAACGTTTGAAGCGTTCCAGGTTTTGTATGAACAATAGCACCTATTACGCTAGCAATATACTTTGGTGTGATAAATTTTTTTTAAGTTAAACTGTATGTAGGTATTTGCTTTGAAGACAAAGTTTAGTTAGCTTAGTAAGTTTATTTAGGCTTACATTTAAAGGCACTTTAAAATAGATGAAATTAACACCAAAATTATTAATTCTAACTAAAGAAAATGTAATTTACAGAAAGTACCGGGTATATGCCAGTAGTTCCATAATTTCGTAGATCTATAGAACTGTTGTGGCTACAATTGCTAAAAAATGTCCCACAACAATAATTCACGCTTCTATTTACAATTATTATCGTAATTTTTAGTTATGTAGTGAGTGTTCCAATACCTATATAACTAAATAAAGAATGATACACTCCTGGAATATATCCAATTTTTTAGACATTTGGACATAAAATATTTCTTATGTCTAAATGTCTAAAAATTACAATCAATTGAAAAATAATTTTTTAAACGGATATTTTGCAATAAAATGCATAGTGTGCACTTTAACTATGCGCTTAAATTAAGTTTAGCCGAAATGGGAATTCACTGGAATTCATTTTCAGTATTTCATCGACTTTCAGAATTGTCAGTTCATAGATTTTTGGGTGATTTGCAAACTACTACAGAGAAATCCTAAACATTTAGCATTGATTGTTGATGTGATTCTATACATTTATAAAGCGCAATCCACCTTTTTATTATGTATTTGCAGAGTTAATCTTAAAATTATTCATTATATAGATTTTTTAAATATTAAATATTCCTTACCAGATTCATAATTATCATGACAAGGTTAAAATTATCTGTTTTAAAGTGCAATTACGTTACTGATTATTAGATATAATTGAATGGAAGACTAAATAAATGTACCAATCGTGCCAGTAAATGACTAGGACGCAGGAGATTAGCTTTATAAAGTGAACCCTATCTAATATATTTTACATTCTATTTAAAAGTTAATTATAATCTATCTAAGCAACGATGTTAAGCCTATAACGTTTGGGACTATTGCAGCGCTATTAGTAACTTATTATATTATTTTAATACACTATGTCGAGCATAACATTGTGTTTAGAAATAGACATATGGCTTATGTTTTCTACAATGATGGAAGCCCTTAGGCTTGGGGCCGGCGACGTTGCCATGCCGTGCGGACAACTTACACTGTGTCGTTCTCGGTTGCAGCATAACGCACACCTCCGTCTTTTGTTTTTTTTTTTTTCAATTCGAGCCTCTGTTTAAAAACAACTTTGCAAAGCTATATACTTTTTTACAATTATCGATCCGAATCCAACATAAGATTGATACACTTTCGTAAGCATACTCTAAGATATGTAACGCTTAGAATAGCATTATCAAATCTTCATAATTTTGCAGGCATTAGAGTCTCTCGTCCCAAAACATTTAAAAATAGTACAATATAAAACACATATTTGTATAATCGAGAACATTAAAAGTTTTAAATTACATCAAAATATTTCTCTTTATAAGCTATGAAGTTAACATTTAATTAATTTTTTTTTTATTGCAAGGTTGTACTAAGAATAATAGAATAATTTAGTTCTGATGGTGCTAAACATCCGTCCCATTATTAGCTGCCAGTAATATGGGATTAATACTACTTTTAAAAAATTAAAGTTCAATCAGATAATGCGTTTGTCTAGAGAAACTGTTATTGCCTTCAATCGATTACTTAAATTTAACAATTGTGATGCAGATGATCGACGTCTATGATATGTCAAGTCTAGTTAAAAGAAATACATTAAAAAAGTTACATGTTTACGGAAAAATAAATCAAAATTTGTTAGAATACGTGGTAGGTGACAATTTGTATTTGTACTTTTAAGGTCTGCCGTCATATAATTCTACAACCGGCATTGTGCTATTTCCCAGGTGAAATCTTAAGAAACTTAATTATTGTTCCCTAATACATAAATATGTCATACTCTTTAGGGCTCCGTAGCCAAAATGAACTCTTTTAGTTTTCTCGTGTCTGTCCTTCTGCAGGGCACTATTCTCTATGCAAGAGTAGGTATCTCGCGCTGTATGTCGCTCTCGTGCAAGCCGAGCGCCCTGCCGTGCTAGTCCCACTGTTGTAAATTTCACTTGTTGACATAATAGTTGGTGTCAAAATATATGTAAAATATATGTGTAAACAGAAATATATACAAAAGTAGAAGTAGTATATTATACTTTTAAACTTCCTTTTTAATTACCATATCAATATCAAAAAAGATTAGAATCTTTGCTTACGAAGGGAATCCCTGAATAGGTCTTTTAAAATGACATGATGACCGACGTACTTAAGCGCTCCATTCTCTAGATACGCGGTCATATAATCGTCTCTCCCACTTTTAAAACATCGTTACATCAAATCCAAAACTATTTAATATACCTTAAAGTAGTCATAATGAAACCTCCAACAGATTCTGTAGCAAAGACTTGAAACAATTTTTGAAATAATATATTTCTTAACTTTCAAAATTGTGGTAAGCCGTTACTCTTATAGTGCATGGAATATACATGCCTACGGAACCCTATCATGGGGGAATGCGACTTGATGGCTACCGGTTTTATAACTTCAACTCGTTAGTTCGAAATCAATTCCATTTGATTACACTAGACAATTGATTGTGCGGATAAATTAATAATTGTGCACTGAAGTTAATTGTATTACAACTTATTTTGGTTGCTCGAAATAAGAAAAATATATTATTACTAAAATAAACAAAAAATATTAAAATAGAACAAAATATGCCTACACTGAATATAACGAAATGTGATAAAATTTGTCACACACAGTCGTGTTAATAAAAAAACAGCGCAGTAAAACTTGTTATGTTAAATGTTAGTACGATTGAACACACACACATCAAAAGTGGTATGTGGATACACAGGATAAGCAAATTGCCAAAACCGCATCAGGTGATCACAGACTTATTTCGATGTGTGTACACAATAATTATACTATGCATGGAGGCACTAAAAGTAAAATTGTAATAAAATTTATATGTAAATCTACTGTCAACACACTTTATATAGTTCAAAACATTTATATGATATACGACCTTAATGTCTGCAATAAACAACTTATTATTTACTTTTAATTAAGATACGGACTGGCAAAAAGTGACCACCAAAAATACAGACCAGTATAAATACGCTACAAAAAGTGTAGTAATAGTTTTTCTACCCACAAATATTTTGTACTACAACATGTCGGACCTATTGATAATATAATAATTTCCGGTAATCCCACCGTAGGATCAGCAAAATTATTAAAAAACACATTGCAATTGTTGGTGGAATGTAAAATTATTATTGTAAACTTTTACTACACCGTTTATAAATACGTACAAAAAGTGTATATTATATGTATATGAGTTTATGTAGCTTGTTAATAACGCTATTTACCTAATTCTATGAAATTCATGTAGCATTTTAAACTCGAACTGTGTTTCTTACTCAAGCTATAGGCTTTTAAAAAAGTAAATATAAAAACAAGCGATGCGCACGAAAAACACTGTAAATTGAAATAAACACGTACCTTACATGAAGTAACTTAAGAGCCAATAACTACAAAGTCGATTACTACGTGGAAGATTTTACTAAACAATTAATTCAGTCCAAAATGTAACTAACATAAGCTATTGTCTCAATGAACATTGTCCACCACTGAAATAATTTATCCACCTGCAGAAGATTATTCGCTAATAAGATTATTCGCAGAATTAAGAGTCGATACTACCTCAGCTCGAATTCATATTTTTCCCGTACTAATACGGTTCTTTTTGCTTGGGTCGAGCGGCACGGACACTGGCCTTATTTGAGAATCTATTTTTTGACAAAAGAAATTATAACCATTTGAAAAATGTGTAATATTGTATTATATGTCTTCCATTTAGTTCAGTTGATATAAAAAAAATCTGTGGTATACGTAAATTAACTATTGAATACAGCGGTTTTCTTGTAAAATTTCGAGGTCTGTTTGTTGTTTTTCTATCGTGTAAATTTTTTGGAATCGCATTTTCACACCGTATAGTAACCAAATCAATGTATATCCTCAACTTTACGATATATTTTTTTAAAGTAATTGATTCAATACTTTCCCTGTTATGTGGAATCAACCAAAGCCATTTGAGGTTGTGTGGATTCTTATAAAATCAATCACTATGAAAATATTTTTGTTTGGACAATAGCATTTTTAATGTAAAATTCAGTTTGTAATAAAACATACCAATTATAATACTTAGCCTGACTCAAAATTACAGTTACGTATTTTTAACAAAACTTATTATTTACAATATTGGACAATATTTTGTTTATTACGTATAACTGGTGTTTATAGCTGCGATATCAGCCAAATTTTATTTTAACTAAAATTGACACCTCGAAAAATGCTACTTACATGAATAGTAAATAGCATTAATTTCACTGTCAAAGATAGAAAATGAAATTACACAGTCGGTGTTTTGTTTGAAACTAAAATGGACACCTCGAAAAATGCTACTTACATGAATAGTAGATAGCATTAAATTCACTGTCAAAGATAGAAAAAGAAATTACACAGCCGGTGTGTTGTTTGAAACTAATATTGACACCTCGAAAAATGCTACTTACATGAAATAGTAAATAGAATTAATTTCACTGTCAAAGATAAAAAAAGAAATTACACAGTCGGTGTTTTGTTTGAATGTGTGTTATTTGAATAAGTAGAATGCGTAAATTCTTACAATCAAAGTTATGACTAAGTAGATATCAGTTGCGGTACTAGCACCGGACACAAAATCGCTTTGTACTTTCAAGTTCCAGAAGGTACTTGCACCTAAACGTGTACTAAACGCGTCTACATTATCATTTTTAATAGGAATACTGAACCAGACCTCAGCTAAGTTTTCTTAATGTTAAAAATACAAACTTAAATTAATTGTGATGCCGAGAAGTGTGAATTCATATTTTACCACAAGTAATTTTTTAACGAGACGTTGATTTTATTATTTCTAAAAACCGCTGCGTTCCAGTTTGGAGGGGTAAGGGTGCTGGTGAAATTACAGGCAAATGGGATTTGTCAACTTATGTCTCAGGGTGACAGGCGCAATGGCAGTGGTGAAAGCTCTGAGTGGCACTACAACTATTATGGATAGGCCTGTTGCTTACCACCAGTCGCACGACTTGTTCGTTCCCTCACTTGGTATTATAAAAAAAGGAGTAGCAATGAAAAGACAACCACACATTTCAACGAAGTGCTGCCCTCTATGGAAATTCGAATGAATAACCATAGTCGATTATGAACATACATACTTACATACTTTCAGTGGCGCCATCTCTGTGAGACTTCGCGAACTATGTTAAGTAATATATACATGTTCGCACAGCATCTATCGAAGAAGCAGAAGTGCTAAAGGTTTAAAACCGTGGCTCTGGTCAGAGCTGAAACAATACGCGATGTGCGACAGCACTCTTTTAAAAACTAAATGCGACATTACATTTCAAAAAATCATTAGAAAATATAAACAAGGAAGCAATGTAATATAACATTATGTTTCACGATTTCATTTGTCTTTTTTATCTTCGTCTACCGGTCGAGAGAAAAACTTGTAATCGTCAAAAATTATGTTAGCTCCTATTTCAACATCACATTAGGCCAATTTACTCTTATGTCATCGTTTCAAGAAAAGTAAACTTAATGTTCATTAACTTTATCACCTTATATATAGTTAAGTCACTGATTTAGTTTTTTAATTTACGAAATTAAAAAAGCTACTTTATTTGCGATAGACACGCGAGACAAAATGAGCTGTCCAATGTTTTTTTAAACTCCACATCGTATAAACTCTGGATGTGAGTGAACTTTTCTTGTAAATTATTTATTACGATCATTTTTAACACCGGCCTTCCATTGGTTTTTCGCGAAAGAAGTTAAGAGAGACTGCAAAAGGCCATTAAGTCTGTAAAGTGAGGGAGAAATCCGAATGGATTTACATTATTACCTACACAACCAGGATAAAATAACTAATTTGCAACTGCAAATTCGTCAATTTAAACATTACAACAAGTGGATTAAACACGCGATATACACTGCAATGCAAGTAGTCAAATTCATGGAAACAATATGTATAACCTACCTAGAAACATTGGAAAAACACACTATACAATACAGTTATAATCTTTGTCCAGAAGTCTAGTTGTTCTACTTTAAAATAAGACCTATACAGTATACATAACTATTTAGAATATGTTTTATTATGGTGTTCATTTATAATTTTATTGCTATGCTTTTTAGCTATACAGATACGAATGTGAGATAAAATTCTCAAAACCTTAATGGGTTTTGCCTAACACTCTGGATAGGTGCAAAGCCAATCTTACTTGTAGAAATTCGCATTCCAAGGGAGTTTAAATTCAAAAGTATTGCTCTAATTGATTGTGCGTCGATAGTCACAATCAACCCTTATCTCGCACAACTTTCCAAGTAATGGACTTCATATACGACAAATATACGAATGTTGTCCACATGGAAGAAACTGGGAACTCCCAAGAAATAGGACAATAATCCAAAAAGATTGTTCATGTGCTAAAACGCTTAACACCGCGCACTAGCTCTTACAAGCATAGTAAAGTAGGTGATATTTTACAATAGGTTAAGGTATATCATAATTGTGTGGATATAAACCAAGTGATTTGGTACAAGGCTAATGTTTGAGGTATCACTGCGACTGTGGGTCGCACTGGAGGAGTCGTACAATGGAGGGGTCACTCTTGGCGCCTTCGATGAACTCCTCGAGAGAGAGCTTCCCATCTTTATTTCTGTCCATTTGTCGGAATATTTTGTCGGTCCGTTTCTCTGGCGTGGATTCATCTTCGGGCATCTTCATCACCGACCCGACCATCTTGTAAATAGCCTAAAGAAACGAGCAATTACGTTACACTTTTGGTTCGACTAGATTTCGAGCATCGAAAGGGGGTTATTCAAATTCATTTATTATCAGACCAAAAAGTACTTCTATGCTAGTAACAGTAATCTTATGCTCTGAGTTAATAGACACAATAAATTAAACAATAAATTAAATTACTCTGTTATATGCATCGAGTATAACCAGAAATAGAGACAAAATGTCATTTAATTTGTTTGAAAATTATACTGCCAAATCATTATGGTGACAACTGCGCTTCGATTGGCCAGCCCGAATTCGAAACAACTGACGGATGTCGTCAATTGTCTCACTTCAAAACGACCAGTTTAACTTGAGCTTTGCTTTAATGGACGAAAATCGATAAATTACATATTTAATTACCGATGAAATGTGATTAGATGTTTTGCTGTTTTTCCCACACCACCGAATGGAACAGCCTCCCATTGTTAGAGATATTATCTTTAGTACCAGAAATACAGAATATTTTTGGAATATACGGAGACGTACACACAGGTCAGTTATTAGCGCTGTACTATTTCAGCGTTTTAATTTGCGATTTCAAAGCAAACGAGAGTTGATATTTAAAAGTGATATAAGGCACATTTGCCTGATGTGTTGTCAGGGATGGATAGCCCTTATTTCGTCTCTATTTCCGGTTACATACTCAAAGGTTATAGGTGAACAGGTAACACGGTGTACCTACGGAAGACAGCGAGTGCATTTTTCCTGCTATCATACTCAAGACACCATTGGTGCTCCCACGCAGTCGCAACATCTATGAAGCACTTTTTATGCGCATGATTGCGTAAAAACCATCTACACACGCTTCCGCAAACATGCCAAAGGTACTGCAAAAGCAAGTAAGCTTCAACAGAACCCTAAGGGCGCATTTATTCGACGATTCGATTCGATTCGAATTTCATCGCGCTCACGCCGCGCGGTCGCGTGTCGCGGCCGCAACGCGCGCGTGTGACACTGGCTTGTCTTTGTCTTTGTCGGTTGTATTATTCAGAGGAATTTAAATGTTGTTGCTTAGTAAATACAATTCAGATTCGCCATTAATGTACGTGAAAGCGTGGTGAGTGAGCTGTCGCCCCACGGCGGCCAAAAATATTTCGCGTCGTGTAACTGAGCGCTAAGGATATTGTTGCGTAATACACGCATTATAGGATACGCCATTACAAATGTGTATGTAGGAAGATAGACTGCAGTACTCACAGTAACGATCTCGAGCATCTCTTGCCGCGAGATATACCCATTGCCGTCGAGGTCGTACATGGAGAAGGCCCACTTGAGTTTCTGCTCGAGCTTGCCACGTGAGGTGACGCTCAGCGCGCACAGGAATTCCCGGAAGTCTATCGTGCCATCGCCGTTCGCATCGAATGTTCTGAACACATGCTCTGCAAACTGCAAAATCATAATTGATTATACACAACTACTGAAGTAAAAAAACAAATTACAATTTACATTTGAATAGTATAATGGATGCGCTAAATGACTTCAAACAACAAAGGTCATAGACGATATTAATTTTTCACAACTTCGTATCCTGGTGAAGGTCTAAATCAAAATTGTTACATTACTACATCATACTTTCGATCCGATACCGAGAAGATATCGAATTGTAGAGCCAATTACACAAACCTTACTAGGCTATCACTATGTCTACCGTGAAAACTACAAACCAACAATAACATTTTAACATTAAAGGAGATTAAGCTTACGATATCAAACGAATCCTGCACTTGGCATATGGCAATCAGATTTATGTTATATTATGTTTGTATTCTGACGATGTGCTCACAACACCGCCGCGTTCGACGTCATAGCTGATCGCGCCAACGGAACTAATCACAGACGCGGCTACACGCATTGGTTTTACACAGCCTTTTAAAGTGCAAGATGCTTACTAACATTAACTATTAATTTAATTTTGGTAACACGCTGACAACAATGTTCTTTTTTATACGCAGAGCTTTCAAATTCAATATCAAGCAAATACCTATGTAAGATAGTATGGTCCCTGCGCTTATCCCTGCCTTAGACCACAAACTAGAACAGTGGTGCGTTCAGCGGGGCGTTGAAGGTTTGCGCGTTACGCATTAATTTGCACGAAAATGTAACCTACCTTACTAGCGTCTCCATATGGGAAGAAATTTCCATATATTTTCTTAAATTCTTCTACAGATAAGTGTCCACTCGGACAATCCTTTAAAAATCCTTTGTACCATTCTTGTATCTCAGCATCTATAATGTAATATAAATCAAATTTTTACATTGTCGATTAGTACTTATTCTATAATTCTGAAAACATAGTGACCACTCAATATTTTACAAACTGTATACACTTTCATTGTTTACATGAATTCGAAGTGATAGTAAACTTAGGTTACTCACCTGAAAATTCCGTGTTTTGCTTTAGATCTTCTAAGACCTCTGGTTTTAGTTTGCTATTTTGTTTACCCATTTTTTATGATTTCTTATATTGTGTTCTAGGACGCTAAAGTATGATCCACAGCCTGAACGCTTTAGTTATTCAATACTTGTGCCCTAAAATATAAAATATCACGGATAATACAATGTTATTTTACCGATAAATAAATGTTAGGATTGTAATTACTCGACCTTCGAATACCCACTTTTTATATGTCGCTCGTAAATGTAACCAAAAAAAGTTACTAAATAACAAATAAACTACTAGTATGTTGGAATAAAATGGTATATCTACAAAAAAATAAATGAAGAGACGAATTTTAGTCTATTTTTTATAATTTTTGTATATTATACATGAATAGGCAAAATGTGAACCATTAAAAATTTCGTGTTGTGGTCACAGGGTCCTTCACACTTTGTTGCAAGATTAATTGTTTGATCAATACTCCTCGCTAGACATAGACTAGGCGACGTCCAGTTATCATATCCATCTTTACATGCAACAATACCAAACCGCTATTCCCAAAACGTTAAGTAAATTATTATTTCATGTAAATCTGTTAAGAAAACTTTATCCAAAAACTGTGTTCAAAGAACAGCATTTGGACCACAACGTATTTTTAATGGTACGTAAAATCTTTCTATCCTTAGGAATTACAGCAGAGAGTTGCGGGGACAATGTGGTTTACCTCCATCTATGACGTGTGCCTATCTACCCTATAATGGCCTGTAAAACACTACGCGACATTAAGATTCTGTAAATTATGAATATAATATGCATTGTAAATACTTTTACATAATTTATACTCAGACTTGAAGATTCTTGAAAAGTATACAGATGTGAAAACAGTTTTGTCAAGACAGGACTTAAAAGAGAGAGATCCACGAACTTCAATTCTTCGTATCTAACAGAACACTCAAACACCGGGCAGTCTTAAGCGTGAACCACGCGGAGAGCGGGTGAGAGGCGGGCGCGGGTCCGGGCGGATCTGCGGCGGATTTAATTCCGTCTATTTATATGGACGACAACACATCGAGCGCAGGCGCGTGCCGCACGTACCACGGAATTAGAACCACCGCGGTCCCGACCCGACCCGCGCCCGACCCGACCCGCACCCGCTTTGTGTGTTTCACGCCTTAACCTGTAGTACTAAGAATAAAAGGTGATGTGAAATCACCTTTTATATATTTTTTTCTGTATATGAGTTACAACCAATACAATATATGAAACAAAGGTATGATGACTTCGTTTGTTAACAATAGTCAGATACAACTCGTTTTCTTAGTGCGTCAGTATTGTAAACACACAGAACGTACTGATTAAACCAGAGGGACCTACTACATACTTTAATTCAAAATTCTATCAACTTACAGTGATTATTGGTAGCTATTACATATCATTCAAAAATGTTTAATAAACTATTTTACACTATCAAGAGTTACAAAAATATAATTGTACAGGCAAAGGCACAACAAAAAAGTTTGTTCTAATAATAATTACAACACATTGAAGATACGAATACTGCTCTGTCCCAAGGAAAGTATACATTTTTTTAAAAGTATTACACGAAGTTTTATAATACGAATTATAAAACAACGACACTTAGGGTCGTATTCTAGAACTCTACTCAATGCTCAAGTCAGGATTGCAATGGAAACACAAACACAGGAAATACGACCCTAATGGCAGGTACTTGAGTATGATTTCGAGTGCTTTAAACCATACTCAAATCCTGACTTGAGCATTGAGTAGAGTTCTAGAATACGACCCTCAATCAATTATAACCATAACATCAGTATTAAATATATTACAAAGACAATTATAATAACAAATAGAACTAATATAAGAGATAAAGTGTAAAGGGAAATAACAAGGGACTCATTGAAAAAATGTGAGAGACAATTTGCCGGCCAGTCTTGGTGCTTGTCGAAAGAGGTAACATCTGTAGCTGAGAAATAGTTGTTATTGGGTCTTGAATGTGGTTTAATTATATGATCAACATTAGACTTTTGTTACAATTTATTTATTTACCCTTTACAGAATAATTTGTATTTAAAAGACAAAGCAGTTTTTCGATTAAAATAACGGTAAACCATAATTAATTACAGTTAATCTTAGTGCCCTGATTAGATCCACACATCGTGAACCGTGTGATACAAATAACGATACAACATATTACTGAAAATATCACAATAGGTGTTCGGGACTTGTATAATTACTAAGCTATAATTAATAGTTAGGAAGTGGCAGATGATAAGATGTCCTGTCAATAATTTGGTACATAGTTTAAATGGCAACACGAATGGCACAGTTTACGACCACACACAGTTTATCCAAGCATACGAGATAAGTTAATATTCAAAATTAAGAAAGACTATTATCGTCAGAGTATATTCGTAAGTATCGATTTCGTTACAGTTAGATTCGTGCTAAAATGTGCGTTAAATTCCAAGGAGACTCTATGTGAAGCAAGAGAAATTTATTACGTTTAAGACTTAAATACATGCATGCACATTGCTAAACTCTATTGACCACTAAGTAGCCCATTAAAAAAAGAACAATAGCAACTGACACGTAGGCTTGTGTCGCGATACAACAAATGCAACAACAAAGTTAGAAATGAACAAAATAATTGACTAAATATTACTACGAAATTTTATTTCTCGTTTTAAGACATGTTCACATTTTTAGTAGCTTTCTTTTAATGTTTTTGTAATACGACTGCGTCTCTGTTATCAAAATGTTTCATTATCTAAGTGCGAAGCGATTCCTTATGTGGTGATTTTCGCCATGAAATTCATGTTAAATCCCATTATAAATCCCTTTGTGATATGTTACACAACACCCTGTCTGCAAGAGCAACCTTCAGGTCTAATATGAGTATTATTGATCCCTCTTTACTCCTCATATAAAATCAGTCGTTTTACAAGCATTTTACGATTCATTATATGACGTTCGTGCCCTAATCTGAAGAACTGGAAAGTTGCCTGTTTTGTATTTACAATTTTAACTCAATAATTTCAAGACATATTTTAAATTCATCATTTATAATTATAATTTTAAAACGCTTTGGAAATTTTCACTTATATGACACTATGCTAATAACCTATACAGCATAAGCATTGAGATTAGAAATGAAAACAATAAATAATTAAAATCTAACGTTAAAAACAACTTTGACGAAATATTTATAGATAAATGTAAGGAAGCTAGCAGACTGATATACTATTCGAAATGGATGGAGAGTCAAACATTTTCTGATATCTATAGAAAATATAATACCACGCCAGCGCTTAATAATAACTAAAATAGAACTAAAAATAAGAATTAAACCAAGGCCGAAAACGCAAGAATTACTACCTATAACACTACAAAAATTATTGGAATGTAATTCAATTAAAATCAAAGCTCCAAGTGCGTTATGAGTACGAGACATGTGTGACACACACATTTTTATATAATTTTTTAACAGGTAAAGAACCTATAACTATTTAAATGCGATATATTTAATAATCGTCTGTATTAATACCATGTAGCGTAGTTTTCAAGTTGTGCGTTAGTTTGACCGTAAAAACTGTAAAACGCACAGAAACTTACATCAAAATGCATCCAGGGATGATTACACGAAAAAAACTACGACTTCAACAAATAAAACGACGAGCAAAAACATAAATGAGTACTCAAACGTTTAAGAAATATACACCAAACAATAACGGGGGTCTTTGTAGTTGTGACTGTTCAATTTGATTGCAACCAATGTCAGACTACAAATTTTAAATTGAATTTATATCATTTCGAGAACAAGGGAAATAGACGAAATCGTTGTAACCCCAATCATAAAATAAACACGACTTTTAAATTTATGTATAGAGAACTAGAAGGCACAATAGTTAGGAAATTATGTCAATGTGACTAATGAAATTATAAAGGATATAACAGATGATACAAACGATTACGAAGCCTTTTATAGACGAAGAAATTTCAGATAAAGATATGGCCAGCTGATAGTAAACTTGAACAGAATTAAAAAATTGTGAAGATCCCTGACTATATAGGTGATAAGATTATAGATAAATGACACCTATACAAACAAAACACGACACCGATATCGAAAGACAATGTAAACTTTGTTACCAATGATAATTGTTATGATTACTTTAATTTTATTAAAAGTCATACAGAACTGATCAGATTGTCAGTGCTAATCGTGACCTTGTACATATCACGGTCGTGTACAAATACCAATAGCTAGTCGTGGTTTCCGTACTTGTCGCGTTTCTCCTGCAATTCTCGCTTTTTAAATCCAATCTGACCGATTCTGTGCACATTATCACTACGCTAATTGTTGCCTTAACTATTAAAACATTAAGATTGACATTAGTTTATACTGTGCAGAAGTGTAGTTCTCCGTCAAAGGAGGCAGGAAATGCAGCAGGATAAATGGAACATCCAAAGAGACAACAATAGATCATTGATACGGATAAACGGTTCAGGATAGGATTTATACATAATGATCGAAGATATGGAGAATCTGACAGCTTCTTAAATATTTATCATTAGGAATGGACATTTTCATATACTTTCAATACTCAAGAATCCATTGACATCTAGTTCGTTACATCAATATTGGATTAATTTCATAATTTAATACTTTTTTACAAATCGACGAAAATACTGTTTTGGGAAAGCTGTTAAATAACGCCCACGCATCGCATGTTGGGCTCGAAATATCTACAGCATGTCTTTAGTTTGGATGTTGTATGTCATCATGTTATCGGGAGGTGAACGTATTCTAGGCGTGGTGTTGACGGCCGCTCGTGCGAGAGAATCGCACAGGCGATCTGGCGTCCGCCGCATCGCCCGCTGACCATCGGTGCCATGTCTACACGACAGCAACACAACACTACCTCATATCGGAAAGCCAAGGCATGTTTCTGTAAACATTACCTTCCCCATAAATTCCCAAACTTTACTCAATACGTCATCAAAAATCTCTTCATTATTTCTGTGTATATAAAAATCTAAAATGTTACAATTTCAATTCTCAATCTGGTTAAAATCAGTCCGAAATAATGATTTCCGTAACCATTTGTATATATTTTAAAAGTTCATTTTTTATTATTATTTTTCACGATGTAGTCGCGAAATTACCCCATTACTAAAAGCAAGCGACCGCCTGAATGAAAACTGCAATGTATCCAGAATGGAGTCTTCAAAATTCAATATGAAATTAATAAAGAGAAGAGTTGTTCTGTTTAAGTTTCGCGACTTTTATAAATCGTACTGTCGTGTGGACAAGACGACGCCGTCTTCGCTTATCGTGAGATATAAAGTGGGGTGGGTTAGTGATCGGGCCGTGGGCTAGTGTGTGATGTGCGCAATTTAGGGCGCGAGCATTTTGGACAGCTCCTCGTCCTGCAGGCACCCTTTGAGGAACTCGTCCTGAGTAAGCTGACCGTCGTTGTTCTCGTCCATCTTGGCGAAGATGTTCTTGGCGCGCTCCTCAGCCGAGTCGGCCGGTCGGTTACTCGAGCAAGCGCCAAGCATATCATAGATGGCCTGAAAGTTCATTCAAGACACAATGTTAAGTCACGTTGACACTTAAAATAAATATTACAAGCATTAGGTGCTCACAGTGTCAAGAATAGCCACAAAGAAGAATTATCTCCTTATTGTGGCTGTGAACGTGCATAGTTGCTTGCACATGCAAAGTATTTGTCCTATTTTGCACATTAAACTAGCTTACACCACGCTTTATTAATGTACTAATCATGTTAGCCTAAAAACCCCGATGTAAAATAAGTTATTGTGTGCAGGCTGGCTTTATTAAAGACGTTATCGATATTTGATTATAACACCGGATGGTGGTAAACTAGTTTTCCGATGAGCGCCGGTAGGGTGTATATAAGCTCTTCATTGTAGCGTTAAATTTAAAAAGAAAGCATTAAAGCAGCCTTATTGTTCATTTAATTATTTCTGAATAAAGAAATTATTTTTGTTTTTTGAATTTACGAAACTCACCTGGACTATTTTTGTCATCTCCTGAATGTCTATGACTCCATTTCCATCCACATCGTACATGCGGAAGGCCCACTTGAGTTTTTCTTCAGGAGTGCCACTCGATGTCACATGGATCGCTTGCAGGAACTCCTGAAACGATCGTTTTATTTTGTTTCAGGAGCTCCTGCACTCCCAGCACAATACTCAGCTCATCAAAACAATATACAATAAAATGAAGGTAGTTGTTCATAATAAATAATAAAAACACACATAACAGCATATTTAACCATATACTGAGCTCTGTAAACAATTAATAATAAATAATTCGCATTAGCATTCTTCGCATTAATAAACAGAATGGTCGCCAGCCACGAAGCATTCGCAATAGACGCATAGATTTGTCTATACTTGACTGACCAACAATTTTACCTTAAAATCTATATAGCCGTTCTTGTCCATATCGAAAGTGCGAAACACGTGGTCGCAAAATTCGACAGCATTCCCGGAAGGGAAAAACATCTTGTACATGTCGACAAATTTTGCAGGTGTCAGTCGGCCGTTAGGGCAGTCTTGCTGTAAATTGACCAAAAACAGGCGCATGATTAATGGGAATGGGAAACGAAAGACCTGCTATTTTGAGAGACAATTAATTCTTCAAAAAACCACCCAATCATCATAAATTTTCTGTAGACGGACTTTAGAGAGCTAGATATAAGAAGCACTAGAGCGTGCTCTGCTAGTGTAATGCAGCAATACTAACGCCAATTACGCACAATTTTACGCAGCCCTCAGTTCCACTTCAACAGCACAATAAGAGCTGCAACAAATAATTAACGCCACACAAGCGCACTTATGACGCACTTTTGGAAAAAAGCGAACGAATTAATCTGTGCCGTTTATTTTAAAAGAACATTTCTTTTGTATATTAACAAGAATACATTTCACTGAAATACATAGCAAAACCGCTAAGCTTTGCAAGTAAATGAAATAGTTCTATTAACGACAGTATGATCACTGCATTTTCGGCCTATTATGTGCGATCACTGCTTTATTTTTTATTTTCCTTGCGTTAATTTTTAACTGTACAAAACTCCGAGTGATTCTTGTTCCTCCAATGCAATTTAATTATTCAAAAATACTGCACTTCCTCCCTTTTTGCAGGCATAAGTGCTGTTGTGAAGTGTTTTGCAGGTTTGCGTTATTGGTTTACCTCTATTATTGATATCTAATATCACAATAGTAGTTGTATCTTCCCTTGGTCTCCAAGAAAGCAGTGTATAGCAGTAACAAGACAAGTCGGTATACAGCTTTTAGTGATAAAATACCCTTTTAAAATCGTAAGTGGCTCATGGGCTCTACATGTAAGTAACATAAAGTCAAGGAGGTATTTGGATCAGCAATTGCCACTTTTAGTTACGTTAGCGTATGGAAGAAGTTGTGCACCCCTTACCCAAACCCCTTGGCCACTATTAAGAAAGGCTGCATTTTCCACTAGTGTGTCGGTTGGGCAGACATTAGACGTAAAACTGTAAACAATTACGTTTCATTACCTTGAAACCTTTGTACCACTCCTTGATAGTGGTCTCATCATACGATGTGTGAGTTTTGAGAAAATCCATGTCTTCCTTGGTAAGTTTGTCTTTACTGACAAAACAACCCATTTTGTCTGCTGAAACAATACAACAAGATTCTTACCAGGTGATACTTCGTTACATATCATAACACGAAATTTAATTTAACACCTCTGAATTAATAGTATCCTGTCAAGATAAGATTCCGAGGTCGCACAATAGGTAACTGTAAGGTTTTTATAGCAGATAATAATATAGGTACTATTTTGTACTGGTACATCTCAATTAGCCCGGGTTTCGTAGAAATAACAATTTTCATACAAAATAGTAATATACCAATAGACAAAAAGCACCAAAAAACCCACAAGATAAAAGTATTATCCAGACTGTACTCGTACCAATTAAACCCACGTTTCTTGAATCTAACTTTCCTTTACAAAAACGTTCCGCCCGTTTTTGGGTTAATTAATAACGCAATTTCGACAGGAGATTATTCACAAATTTTCTACATTGTATAATACAATAATTGTAACTGCTATAATACTTTTAGCGTTGAACATTTCTGGAAAATATTTTGTAACTTTATTGGCTGTATTAAAAAGCCTCATTCTATAGTAAAGTGGGTATTGATACGTAATTAATTTGCTTGAAATTTAATGCGATGATTACTATGTACATTTATTTTAGTTGTTGCTAAAACAATTATGTTTACTCTATAAGCAAATTTATTTATGATTTAGCCTTGCGTGAAAATAATGTTGTGACTATACCCAACTTACTTGCATATCGTCTGCTACACCTATGTGTAGCAGACGATATGCGGTTTTCAATACAGTTATGAGTAAATGATATTTGATGACAGTGGCCTGGTTCAGAGTCTTGGGGTGTGGAAATGTCACGGACACCCCTCCAATACAGATAAAGCGCGCCGTCCGTCTACGTTTTAATTTGAGCGATAGCTTTAAGTTAGCCTTAAGATATCTCCATAGACATTCACATAAAACTAAAGAGATTTTTTATTCATTAACATAAAAGCAACGATTTTATATACTGCTCATGTCAACGTTTTACTGACACATGTAATGATTTTTGGTTGTGATATTACGTGATAGCAAATAGTAAATGATATTAATAATTATAATAATAATTGTATTAATAATTATAACAAACTAGTGGAGTAATTTCACAAAAAATAATTGAATATCAATTCAATAAAAATTTAAAAATAGTGACTTATGTTTTATCTCTAACACAGATTTTGTCGTTTACATCGTCGTTTAGTTATTCATTTTTTGTCACTAATCCTTACACTTAATGAACGCGTTACTAAAATATTGCATGAAATCTACAACTAATTTGTCATCAAACTACGTAAACGAGCGCAATTCTTGCATCACCCAAAAGCAATGAAAATCGATAGTAAAAGTCAGTATGTGGATTACATATCGATCGTTGCAGATGCAGTACCCAATTTAGATTTGCGCACTAATAAAATTACGGGGAAACGAGCACAGTTTCCCGACGCTTTTGATGAATCTTTAACTAAAAGGTTCGATACTGTCTGAGCGCGACGCTAATTTCATGAAGGCAGCTTTCAAATTGTATCTAAAGGAAATTCGATAAATTAAAGTCGGAACTATCGATAGGCCATCACTAAAAGGCCGAATCATGGAGAGAATCCATCATATCCCTTGTTTAGTCGACGACGCCCGCTTTGCTACATTTGCGCAGCAAAATTAATCTTTAAATTGAGAGAAGGTAATCGAATCGCTGGCTAGCTAATTGTTTCTCGTTGTTGGTTTTGGAGCACCTTCGTGCTATATAGAGATATAAAAGTATAAAATTACTTTTATAACTCTACCTGCGGAAGCAAACAATCATTGAACGTTAGTTTTATAGACATTAAAACTGTCGTATCGTATAATCAACCACAACTCTTGTGCATTGGCAGAGCAGCCTAAATCAGACTGAAGGCTAAACAAATTGTATTACAGTCGATCGTCTTGATTTGTTCACATTTTGTAGTCGAGGGAAAAGCAGAAGTTCAAACTCTGTTTGTGTATCTATTATGTACACGTTTTTAAAGGGTGCCCAACTTATATTTTTTCTTAATTTGTGAACATTTCGAAAAAGATCGTTTCCACTATTCCTTATTTGTCTAATTATTGCGTGGGATGTCTTGTATACCTAACGCACAGGACATCTAATGTCTACCGTGAGATTCTGAGAATATCAAATACTGTTTTAGGTCGACATTTGCCAAGTCCGTTTGAAAAAAGTGCTGTATGTATTTCGCGGTTGTACAGAAATCAAGAACTTACAACAGCTAAAGTTAAAAAGCAGGGCACTAAAGTGGGCGTTATTGCTAGGTAGTAATATCTTTCATAGAAAATAATCACTCAAATAAATAACTAATCAAAGATAATAATAATTACCTTGACTTTTAAAGAACTGCAAATGAAATTCATTGCTGCAAATTCGACAATAAAAATGTTACTTTCCATCTCAGGTTTGAAAGTATATTTGGGATCCCAAAAAACGATGTATAAGAATATACGACTAAAAAGTTTTGAATTATTATTATTAAGTTACATTCAATACCTTGCGTTCGATCTTTTAACTTTAACTAGATATGAAAACGCAACAATGAAATTAATGTCTTACTTACAGGTTAAAATAAGCAAATAATGTGTACTAAACAAATCCACAGGTTGTGAGTGGAACACAGACTTTTAAACTTTAAATGTTTTTGCGCACAATATTGCTATAATACACACAAATCCTTATATCCCTACTAATTATATATTATACGAACACATAGGTTGAACAGGCAAGCAACGAGAAAAACATTTAAATATTCGACTCTGTGAAAAACATTCCTTTCACGAGAATTTGAAACGTTGTGATCAATTTACTTCTTTGACGGTAGGTTGCGGGTGTTTTTTACGTGCTAATATATAAAAAAAACAGAACGTAACTGTACGATTACATTTCACGTGACGAAAAAAAAGCGAACAACATTAGCAAAGAAAAAATATATCTGGAAAAAAATTGATAACTTTTAATGTACGATATATCGCGCGCATAAATCAATAGTTGAAAAATGTGCTCACACATTTTTGTTACACCCTACTATTAACGAAAAGTTTAGTTAAACCTTTGTGAGTAGAATTTCCCATGTTCTCCTGCAACGCAAAATGAAATCGGATGGCCGTGTGATTTTTAGTTTACACAATGGAACGACCGCGTATATTACCGAGGATATTAAAACGCGAATTCTCCTCTTTTATAAAAGGAGAACTATACTCATGGTGGCACAACGATTGAAAGTACTAATACGAAAATGAAAATTATATTATAGTACGTATGTTTTAAGGCGAAATTAGTATAGCAAGGTTTCTAAATTATTAAACCTAAACTAGAACTTATGAGACTTTATTTTAAGAATACGCAGTGATTTTAGGAGCAGTAGAGCTCCTTGTGAAAGAGTTAGTCCAGGGAAATACTGCCACCGTTTCAATTTTGAACCGTAAGAGTGCTAGTGAAACTACAGGCTCGTGGGATTTATCAACTTAGATCTCAGGGTGACGGGGGCAGAGGGCGATCATTGCGATTTGAAGCTTACCTAGTCAGTAGTCATTAGGTATTATACAAAAAAAAAGACCTAAGTCTCTTGATTACTAGCAAATATCCATCAATCATTAGACGTCCTAACATCTTGCCAACATCTTATGCGGTTGGCGCGCAGTTTACGTCACACGAAGCGATACGTGATTGGTTATTTTGAGATGTTTCCGAACGCTATGAAAAAATAGATTAAGTGATTTATGTGTATTCAACAACACAGGCGAACGATAGGCCGAAATAGTTTCACTATAAACCTGAAGGTAAGAGTGTTTCAATGCCGTCAACATTGCAGTGCCGCGGGTGATACGTGCCATAGTATATTGAATCTGTATATTTGAATCTCGCTGCCTACCCGAGACACGCTTCCAGACAATTTAAATTCACACTACGCTAGTAACGTGTTATTTACCGAACACCCACTGTTATGAATGAATATTAATTAATAAAATTACAACAAACACACTTTCTTAGTCAGTTCACCCGTATTAAATTGTTTGTGAGCAATTTAACACGTCTATCAATTTGTCTGCTAAACAATTAAGTTTGCAATTTTCGGTTTTATTTCAATTAAGCAATTAAATGTAACATCTCTTAGCAACACCTTTAACAGTGAAACTTCTTATTATGGCCATACAACTCTTAAAATATTTAAAACCAAAAGCTGCCGCGGGATTATATATATTTGAATGTTATAATTGTATCTTGTTCTGATAATAAACGTAAACGTATTTTTATTACTTTTGTTACTTACAAATATTATCCAAACATTAGATAAAATTAAAGCTCTCTGTAGTTCTCTACAACAATGGCAGATACAGTGTACTTTGCGAGTTGGGCCTCACTTGTCAGCACGACAAATTAATGCTGAAGTAAAATACGAGCTTAGTATGAACGTGGTACCTACTAACCAGACATATTTTTAGGCCTGAATGCTTATTTACTGAACGATTTTCCCTATCAGATTTTTTACGTTACGTACTTCACGTAATTGCTTTTAATTCTTTTTCCAGTGCAGAACAATACATTTCTGATATGTCTGAGAATTCGTTATGTCGTGATAAGACTCTTGTAATTAAAGTTTTTTTCAATCTAGCATAACAGTAGACTTACCATGAGGTGTTTATTTTACTTCACGTCAAGAAACCTTTTTGTTCCCTACCACTACCTTTTCATTGAGGTCGCACCAAACTAGTGTGACCCGAAAGCGTTTTCTATGTTACCAAGTGATGGGAAGAACAAGTTGCGCGGTTGGTGGTAAGCGTCACGCCTACCTGTCCATAACAGTTGCAGTGCTGTTTATAACTTTAAATCACAAAGATCTCTGAGGCCTTATGCCTGACATAACTTAAAAAGTCCCACAGTTACATCCGTCTCAGACATAGGCTTTAGGTATTGATGCATTTGGTTTCAAATCGAAATTGATAGACGTATTTTTGTATCGGTATCAAAAACCATGGTTTCTTCCAAAAAC